ATTTTTAATATTATTTTACATATAACCTAGGTATTTTATAAAATACCTAGTAGTCATTATGTAAAATGCCAATTTTTTTTTAGGTAAATTACAAAACATTTTATTATATGTAATATTACATTAAGATTCTTATAATTATTATACATTATTATTCATATTACAGACAAAATTTAATTTTTATCTTTTATTATATTATTACTATTATATAAATATTTTACTTGAACTACTATTTACTTATAACATGTTGTAGAAAAGTGACATTTTGAAGTATAGAAAATGTTATTTTTAAGACAAATACACCTTTTATTTTGACCCTTGGACTTACAAACACATTTTAAAAATCCTTGACCAATTCTTGTGGATTTAATTTTTATCAACTCATTATACTGTTCATGAGATAAAAAAACTATTATTAGTGGCCAAATTTTTAAAAAAATGTTGTAGGTTGTTATAAAAATTTGATAAAACTAATAAAGGCAAATACATATTACATATATAAATTAACATGCATATACACCTTGATGTACGGAGTGCAGCATAATGGACTCCCACATTTTCGGGGTGAATTTAAAAAAAACATACGATATAGAAAAAAAAAATTATTTTTAAAAACTACAAAACATAAAAGGTTTTTTTGAACTACTTTTTAAAAATTATATCGTCTAAATGATTGTTTTAACGAGCGCCGCACATATGGAGCAATTCTTGAAAGTTATCCACCACTCTCGCCAGCATATCGAGTGGAATCGTGGAGATTTCTCGACAAATAATCTCCTTTGGTTCTTCAATGGTTCTAGGTCGATGTTTGAAAACTTTAGATTTGAAATATTCCCATAAGAAATAATCTCATGGACTCAAATCAAGGGAACTAAGAGACCATTTAATGTTTTCCTTTAAGATCAGGCGACCAGAAAACACTTTTACAAAACAGCACGAGAACAACGGGCTGTATAAGCTGTGGACCCATCCTGTTGAAACCGGAAGGTACAAGTGTTTTCGTACTCTTCAATTTTCGGACGTATAAAGTTCTCCAACATCTCGCAGTACCGGTTGGAAATCACAGTAACTGTGACACCACCCTCTTCAAAAAAATAAGGTCCCACGATGCCTACCGTGGACAAAGCATACCAATAACGAAAATTTTGTTTGTTCACTGTGCCAGAAATGTGGAAATGTACTTCAACGCTACTCCACACACTACCGTTAGGAGGCACAACTATAAGAATTACATTACAACAATATTTTCGTTTTCTTCAATCTGCTGGACTTAATTCTTGAACTACAATAATCTTGTATGCGTGTAATTTAAGATCACAATAAAAAATTCGCCTTACCGTTTGATCCGATATCTCAAGAGCGAAGACATGTTTTCGAGTAGAAACGACGAAGACTGCTCTATCGATGTTCTTACTGCGGCAATGTTTTCCGATATTCTCACGGGACTTGGGATGTCCAACCGGTTTAGACATTGCAGATCCTGTTGATCTTAAATATGTACCCAATTTAAAATCTTTTTCCTATTAGGAACACTTTCGTTTGGATTCAAACCGAACCGAATGCGAAATGCTCTGACCGCAATCACACATTCGACGTTTTTTAAAAATGCCTCGATAACGAAACCACGTTTTTCACCGGACCATGGCATGGTGACGACTAAAAAACCTTAATAATAATCTAATCTAACGAAATAAACCACTAATCAGTTAGATTACGCGTTAATAATTATCTGAAATATGGGAGTCCATTACGCCGCACCATATTCTATCAAAAATGTATATTTTAACTTATCAACAGCTGGTTAGATAAATTCTCAGATAAATATTTGTTCAACCAGGAACGCCCACAGAAATGTAGCTCAGGGGGGGCAAAAAAATTGTAAGTACCTAAATACTTATAGGAAGATTTACTGCTACATATTTCATTTACTCATATTTTGTATTACTATCAATAATAATTTTTTAAAAATCAAAACTCATTTAAGTTTATATAAAATTACATTATTAGTTATTAGTTTTAATATTTATAAGAAAAAATATAATAAAGTTTAAACAAAAAACAACTTTATTTGATTGAATTCGCATCATATTTTATTATTTTATTCAAAAAGTAATGACAATCTCCTTTTGTTTGAAGCAAATAAATTAATTGAATCATCATTTGTTGATTAAAAAAATGTTAGATAATTGTTAGATACAAGGATTGTCGAATAGTCACTGAATACCCAAGATCAGCTTTATGTAAAATAACTTCCAATTTTGTAAGTGACGCGAAAATCTAAGGGGGGCAATGGCCCCCACTGCCCCCCCCCATCCGGGCGTCCCTGTGTTCAACGTTTAAGAAATGTAAGATTTTTAATTCATGGACTTTTCAATTATTCGTTTTTACTGTTGTACCTTTAATTAAAGATATTTTAGAATTATATTATATCGTTTAGAACAATGGTTCAAAAAGAAACATTTACAATCCGTATACAGTGATACAATAAGTAAATTGGATACATATTAATCAAACTTGATGGCATAAATGAAGGAGACGTCCAATGACACTACTTTAATGGGTGCAAATTTATTAATAATTATATTTTAATGTTATATAATAGTCAAATACAGTATGAAATGTACTATAAGTAATAATATATACATAGTCAATAGTGTTTTGTACTAATACAATATAAGAAAAGTCGAAAAATGACCGCCGAAAACGAAAAATTAATACGTAACACGTACTCACGTAATTATAACGGATAAAATGACATTTTGGTTTCAATAAGACCATCAACCGTGCCTTGCGATACTGTGCATTTAGTTCGAGTGACGCGACACTACAGTGCAGTACGAATACCACGTGTTAAATAAAAAGACATTGAGAGTATTGAGAGTATATAGAGTATATAGAGTCCTACTTCTTTTTCCTTCAAAGTAAACTGTGGATTCTCAGCAGTCATTGCAAATAAGACTAAATACTTAATTGATGAATTTGTTGAATTTGACGTCGTCACTAAAAATTTCACTAACAAATCTTATTTCAGGTACTAATAATATATGCTATCATGTTCAAGCTCATCCATACCGTTAAGATTCATGCACTGATTTTATTATTATTTCCTGTTATTAAAAAATATATGATGTTACTTCTTAAATACTATGATACCTCCTAAATAAATAATGAAATTATATTATGCTCTATTTTAGTATACTGTTAATGTTTCAGTTTATCGTCATGTTGTATATATCTTTCTTTTTTTAAGATAATTTCCATAAGGGTTCAGGATAAAAAATATTATCACAAAGTTTTCCACAATCTCGAAAAATTTAAGAAACACTGGTTTAGAATATTATTTTATTATTTATCGAAAGAACATATCAAAGCGAATCTGTTCTCAGGCTTATTTTCGACCTTATTAATTATACATTGTAGGAGATTAGCTCATCGCAAAGTTCATTATTAAATTATCAGTACTTAAGGTTTTCATAAATATAGTTGTCGTAGTTTGAAAAGATCAAAAATATTATTATTGTTTAACTGAAAATAAACATTTACAAAAACTGAAATTGTGTTTACACATAATATGTATTTATCGCCACGTGACTACCGCCACTATTGATAATGTTAAGTTACTACTTCTACTACTACACCGTATAATAACAAGAAGTTTGATAACCCATGGAATACAACTACAACATACTGTGGTTAAAATAAGCTTCGTAGGTAATCCCATCTCTTAGTAGTTGTCTCGGTGTTGTATACCGTGACAATAACATTTAAAAATATTTGATACTACCTATTAAATACGTTAAGATATCTTGTTATGAAATGTTGACATTTTTTAGGCTTCAAGCCAAAATACTTGCTCATAAAAGATCGTGCACTTTCAATGTATCGGATGTGTTAATTAGAAAATATTCGAACATCACAGTCGTTACATTAGACTAGATGACTTTTGATTCAGTAAAATTGTATTGGAATGGATTTACACAAAAAAGTAGAGGTATTTGTTTTTCAAAAGCATTCTATTTGTTGCAAAATATTTGACGTTAAACTTAACGGTTTTTTATAGTTTACAAGGAACGTTGTTTAGTCAGTCACTACTACAAATAAAAAAAAAAACAAAAAACAAAGCCATACGAGTTTTCAATCAATGTCGATGATCTCATGTCTTATACACAGTCGATCCCATCTCGCCGTGTTAATTCAATTATTTGGCAATGCCAAAGAAAAATACGTTTGGGAAAACTAAGAAAATGTTGAGCGATGCTTAATACGAAACATGCAACTTCGAACACAATACAAAAATATCACACACCCTACAGTGCTCAACGAATTGTAACGATTACAATATTATCTATACATTGATAACGTACATATTTTGGAAAACAATGGATAACGAATAACCCTTGGGGTATAACATACGAGATTACATAGATAGTTATACCTACATAGTGGTATCAAAATCGTTAAATCATCACTGTTGTCAAAAGAAGAGCCGACTGAAAGATTATGACTTATTTTCGTCATTGGTCCATTTGCGAACAATCCATGCTATTATAACACTTATCGTATTATATAGGTACCTAATAATATAATAGTACGAAGAACCGGTTTCGACTGTGAAACACACAACAGCACGTTTGTAACGAAATATTTTAAGTTTTAACAGACCTGGGCGACATTGCCGTTGGATTACGATTATTATTATTATTATTATAGTCGTGCACGGCGTTTATATTTCGGATCCGCACAAAATGACGGAAGACCGATGAGATGGGCGCGTCGACGAAGGCACGGAGGCGAATAGAGGGCACCGCGTCATCGTCTCGCGTTCGCTGGGTGGAAGCACACCACACACACACACACACACACACACACACATATTCGCGCGCACACCAACACACTTATTCATTCGAACACACACGCACACGTGTTACGTGAGAGCAAAAGAACAAAAGTCGAGTAAAGGAAAACAGCTGAACAACCGGAAACCAAAATCCTATCGTACGTACCAGTTTGGTTTGATATTCAAGTTTCAACGGACAACGGCGGTAGATATCTACTGCTACGCACGTAATCTTCGGACCGATTCACTTTGACGCACAATATTTAGACAAAAACGGAACGCGGAGCAATTTTAGCACTAAGCCCGGTGAACGAAAGGAAAAAACTTTAGATACTTTTACACCGTATCCTGAGCACAACGACGACGGTACTCGACAATGATGATATTAACGGGGGCAAACAAACTATAAACAAAATATCGAGTAGAAAAGAAGTAAGAATTACGTGCACAAGTCGCCGCGCCGTTGGGACGCGGACGGTATAAATGCGGAGCGGAGAAAAACCGGTGTAAACAATGCAACGGGCGAGCGCGCACACACAACACCGCACACACCGAACGACGGACGCACGCACGCACTCGGTATCGGACGACGGCACACGCACTAACCGATGACGACGGACGAAGGTACCGGCACGACCATACCCGTTAACGGAACGCAGACAACTGAACGCGCGTCGCGGTCTCTGCGTTCGCGCCGCTGCCGTTCTCGTGTGCGTTCGGCGGCGGCGAGCGCCGTTGCCAGCCGGTCGGTCTGTCCGTCGTTGGTTGTTGTCGTTCGGTTTGCCGGCGCGCGCGTGTTTTTGCCGGTCTCTCTCCTCATCTACCCACCCTCCTACTCACGAACCGGAGCACACGCACGCCACGCGGCACCCACCATATATTTTTGACGGATCAGAAAATAGCAGCTGCTGTCGCGCCGAGGCGAAAAATCTCGAAGAATTCCCGAGCAAACGCACATAACATCATAACCGTGTTCGTTAACTTACCTTTGACCGCGGACGGAACTGAATGCATATGGGGCAATAAAATATTTCTCAAAATCTGCGTACATCATCTTTGTTTAAATCGTAATATAAATCATAGTCTGAGACAAGAATTATATAAAAAAAAAAAAGAAGAAGTTGGCAATAATAATTAATTATAGTCGATTACTTCAATTTGTATTGACTTTTGTTCTTCCATAAGCAAATTGATTTTTCCAAGCATATTTAAAAGAATTGATCAAAACCTAGCATCCGTAAATATTTTTTTTAGTATTCTGAAAAGACCATCAATTCACTAATTTTAATTTTATTAGTTGAAGTTATGTTTTTTAACTGATTTTTTTTTAATAATCTGACATATATAAACATAATATAATTAAATCACTCTAAATAATAACTTTCTCCACTTAAATTTTTGATCAAGAATAAAATCATCCCATTTTCAATTTTTAGTTTATACAACAGGATATTGATTATTGCAATGGTTGAATTCAATATTTGACACTTCTGAAGAACCACGGTTTTTATTAGAATTCAACAACGTATCCATAGTTATAACTTCTATTAATACAGAAAAAAAAACACAATAAATGTTAATTATCCAACAAAATACTATCACAATAAATATCGGTCGACGTATGTAGTCGTAACTGAATACAAAACGGTATGCGTTTTACTACTGATAGATTAGGGGCAAATCATTAAGTTCTTGTAAATATTAATCAAAGTATGTCATTACTGAATATCACAAACAAATAAATAGACCTAATTCACAGTTATCACTGGCGGATATGTTAATTTTATTGTTTCACACGGTCTCTTAAAAATAAGCTAAGATACTATAATGATTGTAATAAAATATTTAATTTTTATTGCAATATTAACATATTAATTTTAAATTACTATGTACATTTAATTAAATTCGGTGACTCGTCGTCTTTATCTAAGTGGTAGTCAATTACTTAATTCAATTTAACCTAATTCAAATAAATACTATTCTGTAATAAATGCATTACCTATTAGTTTATTTTTTTTATTTACAATAATAATGATTTTAATTATAAAGCGACTATGGTAAATGATGATTTTCATTTCTCTTAGAGGAATAGTAGTAATTATACAATTTAAATACTCATAACCAGTGATGGATCCAGAACTAAATTTTTTTTTTTTTTTTTGATGAGATGGGGAAGAAGTGTAAAAAATGTACAGCGTTAATTTAGTTCAATATTAGTACAGGGCTAGAAACTTCTAGGAGTTTGCATGTTTTTCAATAACCATTAAAAAAATAGCCAAGACATTTGTGTCATAGCCATCCAAGTTTATATTTACATTTGTAGTTTCATATTATGCTTATTTGAAAATTGTTCATATTTAAGTGCATATTTTACTATTTTTTATACAAATCTATAAGTTTTATAAATATTTTATTACAGAAAATATAATTTTAAATGCATTTCATAGGCCTAAAAAAATTATTTGTTACAAGTTTATTTTTACTATAGATTAAAATTTATAATTTTGTAAATATAATCTAGATATAAATATGAAAAGGTTTTACTATAAACTGTATATTTTAATTTTTTTTTATTACATATTTTTATAGTTATTTTATTGATTATTTAGGGCATAAATGCATGCATATTTTAAAGTTTTTTAAGGCATGAAGTCCGGGTTAGACGGATATAGAATTTAACTATGAAACTCTTAGAAAATGGAAAAATGAATATCCTGCTACTAAAGACTTTGGGCCTTGGGGAAGAAGAATGCTCCTCTGTCCCCCTGGATCCGCCACTGCTAATAACTAATCCCTATACAGCTCTTCTATCTGTAGGTACTTTCTTATTATTGAAGTTCTATACTCCGTAAAACCTGAATAGCTGTACGTTCAACTCTAGATATTTTATCTCTACACTTTGAAATGTATATATAAGAGTAGAGATCAAAAGTATAAAAATTTCAAATGAAATATCAAAATGAAGATCATTTAGATTAAGTTCAAACTTCACATTCAATTTTTCTATCATTTTTGAAGTCAGTAAAAAGTATGTATAAAAAATACATTGAACGTACTTTATAAATAAATATATAAAGTACGTTCAATGTATGATATATGTATAATGTGCTTTCATAATAATTATTGTATTCACTAAGTGCGGATGTTATAGTAATTTATTTTAATAATATATAGTAATTTATAGTAATTTATGCATATGAGTACATTTGTTGGGTATAATTTGTTACAATGTGATGAAATAAAAACAATTATTTAGACATACAATGTACAAAAATAAAATTATTACAAACTCATTACTGATTTAGTATATACAAAATTAATATACGTATAAATCGAAAATAATATTTTTATTACACAACCAATTCATATAAGTATTGGAATTATGCAGGTTTTTCATAAACTGACCTCATTAATACAATGGAAAATTATTATTTTTAACATTTTCTATAAACAATACAACATACAGAAAATATATTTCAGTATAATCAATGTTCATTGATATTAATAAAAAAGGTTATCAATTTGGATAAAAACATTTTTGCGCTCATAGGGGAGATGAGGAATACGATGTGGGGCGTAAATCTGTATTTATTAATCTTTGAATGATCAACATTTTTCTTACTCGATTTCTCATCAATTTACTATTACATATATAGTAACATTTATTACTTTATAATACAAAAATATTAGAAATTATTATTTATTACTATTAATTTGTCTTTTGTCATTGGCATCATAATAAATTAATCATTGCTTAGGTATGTACTAAGAAAACTACAAAAAATAGTTGTAATTAATTAAATTATAATACTGAGATAAATACACGCGGAAAAACAAAAAAAAACCCTAAATGTAAATGGTAAATGTACGTACATTTTCTTTAAGTCGAAAATGAAAAACAAACTAAAATGTTATTAAATAATATATATATATTGATAAATTATATATTATTATAAATTTACCTATAAGGTAATGCAGATCATGAAGTAAAATCGAATTTAATATTAATTTAGTGTGTTTTTTTTTTTTTTTTTTATTCAAGTCTTGAATTTAAGTTGTTGGAGTAAAAATAAAATATAATTATCAAAGACTTTCAATAATTTCACTAATAAATATCCATCAAGATTTTTCTCTTTACATAATGTGTTTCATCTTTTGATAATCTCTCGCTTTTTAGTTTTTATTTAGTTTATTTTAAAAAAAAATTTAATTTGGTTACTATAATTTAATTACATTCAAAAAACTAAATCAATTTATTTTAAAAAAAAAATAGAAAAATCATAAAATTTATCTTCAATAATTTTGGATAGGTATGTTTGTTGTATGTTTAACAAACTTTAAAATAGTAATTAAATATACATGTTTACAATGATGTTATAACTAATATCAATTCCATTTTGTCTTTTAAACATTTCAATTATATGGAAGAACTTTTTTGTACTGAACTTTGAGATTATAATTTATTTGATTAATTAAATACTTATTATTCTAATAATATGAAGTTTTAATGTACGTATGAAATAAATTTTAAATGTGTTACCTTGTTAATTTTTTTTATTATTATTGAAATTTCGTTATACAATTACTTTTGATAGTCATAATAGTAACAACAAAAAAAATTAAATTAAAAAAAACCAGAATGATTAAAAAAGGAATGTAAAGGGAAGGTGATATTTTCTTGCTGGGTCGAAAATAAACTATGTACATTGAAGACAATATTAGAGGAGAAAAAAGGATCATTAAATTAGCACTTTGATGTGATAGCTTGGGAAAGTTGAAAATGAGGTGAGTACATTATAAATCATTTGGATTATTGAAACCACACATCGATTATTTGAAACAATAAAGGCCAAGGTCGTTATACCAATGTATTGTTATTACAATGTACTTTATCTTATGTTGTTACGATGGAAAGAAGTGTACAAAGATAGGATCGATGTGTACTCACACCTCGATGTTGCAGAGGTTCTAATAGAAAAAGAGATCTGTAATGCGGTTATGAATCCTCAAACAATTTAACATGATGTCACTAACGATGAAGAAGAAAAAAGTAAGTCGTCTCCATGAAGTAGAGAAATTGTAGAAGTTCTAAGTGTCCTCAGGAGAGCAGTCCTGCATCGTGCGTATGAAAATGGCTTTGGGGAATATTATTCTTACGAAACCGTGATCATCAAGTTACTCTACGCAAAACAACAGACAACGTTAAACGCATATTTTACTTGGCATGTACATTTTTTTTTTTCATAGTAGATAATTTTTTTCGAATTATACATTTTTTTCATAATAAATAAAACCAATCGCTTATTAGAAACAATCAGTAAATTGACACATTTTACCTTGGTCCAAAAGTGTAATAAGTGACTAGTGACTAAGTGGCTTCTACTGTATTTAATTTTTAAACCTCATAATTTAAAAATAAAATATTTTAGAGTTATACTTAATGTTTATTTAAATAATATTGATGGCTCATGATTATCAGCTTATAATGATAATATATAACACACACTTTAAAATAAGTCATTTTTAAATAAATCATTTTTGAATTAAAAAATACCATCGGTGTCTTATGAAGTATTTGAATAAACTTTTTATTTCCATACGAATATTTTTTTTTAAAATCTTTATTTATTTTCTTGAGATTTTTTTCTATAGATAGAGATTTATCAT